CATGAAAATGTTTCTCTTGTATTTCACTGAATAAAATGTGTGGTTGATCATGACACGAAACAGAGAAGAATTCATCTTTAAAATCTGAACTGAATGTCAATGCGTCTTTTGCAAGTTAAATTGGAAATGACAACATCGTTCCCGACTCCATCTTCCTCTCTCTCTTCTTTATTGCTGCACCTGCACTCTTTAGACAAGAGTGCTTTCAGAACTCTACAAGTGTTTCCATCCATATTGACTGACTGTTTGTGAGGAGAAAGTATCATTTTGCAAAGGTCTTCGCGTTCACATATAACTCCTGTTCTGTAAAAGTGCCATGAACTGGGATAGAGCGAAGATATGCGACCCCCAGCGCTTTCCCGCTTCACGGAAGATCTCGCACAGATAAAGTTGCTGGAAGTCATTAGAGCATATGGGTTTACAGAGCTGGAGAAACGTTCCTGCCCTCAAGACGTCCAAGAGCAACAACCGTGCAGCGGGCGTTTCCCTGTCCCGCGTGAATAAATGCAGGCCTCGGCCCAGGGTTTAAAACGGTAAGCTTTGTATTACAAGTCATGCAACCACTCAACTCTGGATATTTCTTGGCAGGAGGAGACATTTGCTCTTTTATTGAGCTTGAGGTGCCCTACATGCCCTAAAATCAGGTTATTTTCAGGAATGGAAAGCCACCTGTTTCAATAAAAGTGTTGTGAGCTCTTTACCTGGAATCATCTAAACTAGTGAAGCCCTGTGCTATTTGCATTTCCGGTAACACTTTATGTCTTATTTGTTAATATTAGTTAATGCAGTGGTTCCCAACCCTGGTCCTGGAGGCACCCCAACACTGCACGTTTTGCATGTCTCCTTAATCAAAACACACCTGATTCAGGTCATCAGCCCATTAGTAGAGACTCCAAGACAGACCCTGCGTTGCATTCGGAAGGGCTCATCTCTATGCCCGAATCCCTTCAAAGGGTTTATCCTCCGGAGTGAGAGCTTTGAGGGGTTGAAGGGTGTAGGGGACCAAACAACTGTTTCTTGAAGTGCCCTTCTGCGTCATCATCACATGCCCACACTGAGGCGCCGTCATCATGCAAAGAATCTCCGCAAAGGATCATGGTAGCCCGAAGTGTCCATCAGTTGTGCCCTTTGAAATCCTTCATTCCGAAGGGCCCTTTGAAGTGGCCAGTTTTGAGCACTTCGGTTTGGAACGACCCTTCAATATGGCGGCTATGATTGTTTTCACTCCGAATTGCCCTTCGGAGGGCGATATATCCCATTTGGAACGTACAGAGAGATGGGCAAACTCGGTCCTGGAGGGCCACTACCCTGCAGAGTTTTGCTTCAACCTTGATCAAACTCACCTGCCTGTAGCCTTCTAGTAATCCTGAAGACCTTGATTAGCTTCAGGTGTGTTTAATTAGGGTTGGAGCGAAACTCTGCAGGACAGTAGCCCTCCAGGACCGAGTTTGCCCATCTCTGCTCCAAGACCTGAAACTGGTGCGTCAGAGAAAGGAGACATGCAAAATGTGCAGTGTTAGGGTGCCTCCAGGACCAGGGTTGAGAACCACTGAGTTAATGCATTGGTTAACATAAACTATGAGCAATATATTGCCATGCAGCAAAAAAATTAAATAAATAAATAAATAAAATACAATAAATAAAAAATAAATAAATAAAATAAATAATATTAAATACATTTAAAAAATCAAATATATCTGTGTTTTTCTGTCAATATGGGGTGCTGTGTGTACATTAATGAGGAAAAAAAATTAACAAATGATTTTAGCAAATGGCTGCAATATAACAAAGAGTGAAAAATTTAAGGGGGTCTGAATACTTTCCGTACCCACTGTATATATATATATATATGCTAAAATATGTTTCAGAAGTAAATATATTTTCTACCCATGTATTTTTTTTTGCACATTTTTGAAAAAGCATTTTTTTATATGTTAATGTTTTTATATTTTAAATGTATAATATATATGATAACAGCTTTTAAATTTCTTCAGTCTGCAACATCCAGGGGGTCTTTCTCTCTCTCAAATGAGCTGAGAGCCTCTATGTAGGCAAGTAACCAGCGTCAATATTTACCCAGCTGCATGAAAGCATGTAATGAGTGTTTGGACTACCACTCCATACATATATGCTGCTGCAAACCCCTAAACTCATGATCTCTGCCATTTATTCTCAAATATTTAGTAATAATAATAAATTTTGTGCTGAATGTTTTGTTTCACCTGTGTCCTCAAATTGTATAATAATAATAATAAGATCTGCCACCACTAATATATTAAAAGTGTAGCATATTTATATATTTATTTATTTAAACTATTTGCTTTCTCTGGTTTTGATTCAGAGGTTTGGTGTGATTTTCTGCTTCTTCAAGCTTCATATTTCTGGTTCTGGTTTATGCCACGTAGACAGTTATAGGCTATCTGATATTTATCCACATACATTTTGTGGATTGTTATTTTAATAGTTGTTGAGGTTGTTAAGTAATGAGCATACTTGTAGCCTATCCAAACGAATAAATGTGTTTCCCATTTTTTTGTATTGCTGGATACGGTAATCAATGTTCTAACACTTCCCTCTTCACGCAGTAGATGGCAGCATTGCCGCATAAACACACAATGCTGTTTTTGGGTGCTTGAATCCTCTGTTCAACCACATTCGTATCACCTTCCAACTTTTTTTGCCATGTAGGGGAGATTGATTTGTATATTAAAACAACCATTTCGGAAAGTAAAACAGAACGAGTATACACTAAGGTAGTTCTTACTATGCAGTAGATGCATTTTCATATCCCCATATGCATATGTGCCATTATGTTGGTCAAAATATTAATTTTAAATAAATATTGTTAGTTTTGATTTATATTTTTAGTTTCATTTTAATATCAGAATAAAGTGAAAATAAGGGTGAATGTATTTCACTGCTTTGGTTTGAGGTGGATGTTGTGTGCCATGCTAACAACTTATTACGAAATATATGTTTCTTCATTTTCCTTTTGAAATGTTTCCAGCAAAACATCTTTCGATTGGTATCTCTAGTTTTTATTTCCAGTGTCCTCAATAGCATCCTTCCAACTACCAACAACACCACGTTAGTCACTGACTGATTTATCCATGGTTGATACCAAGAACATCAATACTGAGCAAGCAGGTGAACCAAAGTGAAATAAATGTCCAATGTATCTGTCACATGTATAAACAGATGATGAAGAAGATTTTGTAAGTGACTTTTCTTTCTGTTTTAGATGTTCGAAGTTCCATTCTGAACCAAAAGATTCATAAACCCACTCCGAAGATCAGATCTAAATCAAATGGTTTGCGATCCACCTTCTGTCCCTATTTAATTGTTTGATCAACATTATTGCTAGGAACAATTTAGTAGTTGCTGGATATTGGTAGGGACATGTACCTAATGCCCTACTAAATTCTCTCTCTATAGACCTGTGTAAGTAGACAAGGATTATAACAAATTGTGGCTTTTCTTAATAACTGCAAAAATGACTGCTCGCTGAAAGCTTCATAAAACTCTGTTTAGCGATAAGAGTGAGGAAGCTCAAGCTGATTTTATACTTTATGTTTCAAAATGACACACTCTAAAAAATGCTGGGTTAAATACAACCCAGTGCTGGGTAAAATAGAGACAAACCCAGCAATTGGGTTGTTTTGACCCAGCGGTTGGGTTACTACCCAGAAGGTTGGGTTAAACATTTAACCCAACCACTGGGTCAAAATAACCCAATCGCTGGGTCTGTCCCTATTTTACCCAGCACTGGGTTGTATTTAACCCAGCATTTGGAATGTAATTTAGATCAGTATTTGTAACAGTAAAGCATAAAAATATTTGTGGTGGTAAAGATAAACATTCAAATTCAACACCATCATGAAAAACAACTACCACCCCTCTTTCTAAGAAATTAACTCTACCTTTTTGTTTCCATTGTTATTTTGTTTTCTACACTCTAAAAAATGCTGGGTTAAATACAGCCCAGTGCTGGGTAAAATAGGGACAAACCCAGCAATTGGGTTGTTTTGACCCAGCGGTTGGGGTACTACCCAGAAGGTTGGGTTAAACATTTAACCCAACCGCTGGGTCAAAACAGCCCAATCGCTGGGTTTGTCCATAGTTTACCCAGCACTGGGTTGCATTTAACCCAGCATTTTTTTTAGAAGCTTCTCACAAGCTATAATTAATTCAGTTTCATTTAAGTGTCTGAGCCAGGGTTAAGCTAAAACTATTAAAACATGTTTTTCTTAATTGAAATAAATCTAATAAAATATAGATATTAGATGGGGGGAAAAAACTAAACTTATTTCAGTTAATTGCCAGGGCAACATTTATAATTTAACTTGAAGCACTAAAATTGCTAACTGTCAATAAAATAAAAAATAATAAAAGTAAAACTGAAAACCTAAATAGTAATCATTAAAAAAAAAAAGCACATAAAATTACTAAAACTTTAACAAAAATTTAAATAAAAACAAAGTATAAAAATAGCTCATTCAAAATATTAATAAAAACTAAAATGGTATATTTCTGATTATTTAATTTGCTAGAACAAAATCTTTTTTATACATTATTTAAAATAATACTGTAATAATAATAATACTTGAGGGTTTTTTTTAACAACAAAAGCAAATTTATTTTCAGCCAGATAATTTAAAGATCAGGAATTAAAGTTTATTTCTTTAAGACTGAAAGGATATAAATTGCAGAGAAATAGGTTTAGATTGTCTATATATTTATATGGCTTTGTCTTTTGAATGGCTTTCTGTATAACCCTTCAGTTCTATCGTGCTGTTCTCATTTTGTGAATGTTGCATTTGTCTGATAAGGCATCCCCATTTCATTGTCACTCCACCAGCTTAATACAATTTCTAGGAATGTTGTGTTCCACCCTCAGCAAGAAAGCACACGCCTGGCCCTTTAAATCCCACCCACTTGACAGACAACCGCACCGACCAATCAGAGCGCGTTATTCTATGGGCGTGTCCACCCCGCACACAAACACCGAATCGGCATTTGCAGACGTTACGTAGATCCACTCCGACCAACCTTTAGCTTAGCCTTTCAAACTCTTCCTTTATTCAGCTAGATTTGATTTGGATCGCTCCTGAGCCGGTTGTATTTAAGAAGCTGAAGGTTAATAACGCGGGACAGACAGTTGTGAAGCTTCACAGAGTGAATTTCATGTGTTAGCTCGAGCTGAAGTCCAGTAGAAACAGCAGTCATGGGCTCCAGAGCTTCATCTCTGCTCAGAGAAGAGGACATTGAAGAAATCAAGAAGCAAACGGGATGTGAGTAGCGGGTTTGGGTGGATTAATAGTGTGTCTGGGTTATATAGACATCGCTAGAGAGTTTGGACAGTGATGACAGATGTAATACAGAGCTTTTTGGGAAGTATTTCATGTCCTGTGATGTGACATATGACTAAACTCCCATCTAAAACTATTTTAAACAGCGTTAGCTCTTTCCTGTGTTGTGTAGGTATTGTGCTTCCAGTTTGTATGGCATCGTATTACTTGAGATAAGAGAAAATAGCTAGAAGAAAGTCTTAAAATCTTGGTGGAACTGGTGTTACGAGATCTAAGATACACTCCCTTATAGATATATCATTTTAAAAATATTATTGGTTAATAAGAAGCTCAGAACATGTTATACTTCAACTACCTATATTGTGTATATTTATTATGTATATAAAAAGACACACACATACAGTATATATTTTGAAAAATATATGTATATTCATATAATTTATATTAAATATAAATATATCTAATATATAAACAACATATTTTTCTTAAATATATACATGCATGTGTGTGTATTTATTTATATATATATGTGTCTCAGAATAGTGTCTGAGAGGGCAGAACGTAGACAATATTGTATAAGTCAATTGTTCAGATAGACAGACAGATAGATAGATAGATAGATAGATAGATAGATAGATAAAGGGCAATAAAGAACTATTGTATTTACATGTGTAGGGCCGGGTGATATATTAAAGGATATCTGACTTGATGATTTGTTTATCATTACTCAAAAAGAAGTCCCTTGTGACAGTCTTAATGTATTAAAATTGTTATTCATTGCTATGTGTTGTAATATTGGTGTTATAAAAACAGAATATGCATAAATAGTTCGTTTAGTGAAAACCAGAGAACAGGAAAACACGCTATATTCTAATCTACGTTTTACAATAATTTGCATCTGTCAAACATTTTTTATTCATTTTAAACAAATATTTAAAGAAGGCTTTACATGATGAAATATAGTTCCATGAAGAACCTTTAACATCCATGGAATCTTTCCACTGCACAAAAGGTTCTTCATAGTGGAAAAATGTTCTTCAGACTATTAAAATGATCTTCACACTAATAAAAAAAAAATTATACTTTTTTTTTTTTTTTTTTTTAGAAGCATGTACTGCAAGATTATTTGGGGAAACCCAATAATCTAGCATCACTGTGAAGTTATGTCTGGATCGCTGTTTGCGTTGCACTGATGAACATAATTCGATTTTAATGACACCGTTTGCACCTGTGCATCTGCAGTTAGAGGTTTACAAAATGCTATGAGGGCCAAGCAGCAATTTCCAATCTCCGCCGTCTCAGTGCTTCGGCGTTCTGTACGGATGAACCACAGGGAGAGAAACGTCCACCCCCACAACATCTAGAAATAGACTGGGGATATGCTTTATACGTTATTGGAGCTGTATGGGTTATATGTTAGTCTTTATTTTACAGACCACACATACCAAGCTCAAAAGGTCTGCAGGCGGTCTAGCTGTTAATATTCATACTTTCTAATGCCAAGATTTGTATGCATGTGTTTCATGACCTTTTTTTACATGTTTGTAAGCCCAGATTTTACTACATTCCTTTAAAGCCACATAAAGTGCTCTCCTTCTTGTAATTGTCAGTTTTTTCCGCTCTCGTCCTCTGGTGTGAAAACCTACTGGGCAGAAGCCAGGATTTCACACTGCGTCTCTTTATGTGGTTGTGTTTTAACTCCTGACTGAACGTCACTTTGTGACTTCCTCCATCATGTGGGATGGTTCTGTATTCCTTCATCTCATTTACTTTAAATCTGTGTTGATCAAAGACTGAATTGTTGTGGAAGATGTTCCACTGATGTGGTCGGTAATTGGCTTTGCTGTGATTAAAATAGGAAACCACTTTCCATGAATACATACTGCGCCAAAGCAGCTTTTCTCTGGTGAATGGATGTTCCAGTTTACATTGATTTCTTTACAATATTTTTTAGTTTGGCTAAATTGTGTTGAAGTGAAGGAAAAGAAGCCAGTTAGTGTCCAGTATACATAAAGTATCCCAGGATGCACTTTATGAAATAATGAACAGTGTGCAAAGCTGTAATCAAAACTCGTTTTATGAAGTATGTTCCTTTTTGTATTTATTTGGTTTGATGACTTTTTTTTTAATGAAAACAAATTGTTAAAAAAAAACAAGTGTCCAAATAAAGTCCAGAGTATGTTTGTAATATATTAGCCTAAATAAATAAATGCTTATTTATTAAAAAAATAATAATAATTCAAAGTACAGATTTATTTATTTATTTTTTTAAAAAGATATATGCAGAGTACAAATGTATTTTTTCTTTTTAAATATTTATTTACTTCCAGGATATTTGGTACATTTTGTCCTTTCATTTATTTATAAAAAATAAATAAATGCAAAGTACAAATGTATTTTTTCTTTTAAAAAAAATATGCAAAATACAAATTTATTTAGAAAAAAATATTAATTTACTTTAATTGACACATTTTCTGATTTATTTTTATGTTTGTTTAGTTTGTTTAGTTTCTTTATTTATTCATTTGCTCACTTAATGCAAAGTGCAATTTTATTTATTTGGGTTAAAAAAATATGCAAAGTACAAATTTATTTATATATATATATAAAAAAAAAATATATATATATATATATATATATATATATATATATATATAGCGCTATTTAT